GGCCTCTCTCATAACCCTACTGACACTTGGGTCATCCAAAATGGAGATTATAAGCTGCTCCAATTCTACCTTAATGGCTAAAACTGGCTGATGTTGTTGTTGTTGCTGCTGCTGCTGCTGCTCTAGACAGCCCCTTCGCTGGTTTGCTTGAGCTCTTTTGAGTGCTGCAATAAGTGCATTTGATAGAGAAGGTTGGCCATGAAAAAGTGGACCTGGTGTAGTTGGGAGTCTATTGAGAGCCACATTGAAACAAAGCTCAAGAGCTCTGCAGTGGAGAGGATGAGAAGTTTGATTTGGTTGAGACTTTAGACATGCTTGCCTTAAGAGGCTACTACTCCTTGAGCTGAATAAAGTAACAGCCACATGGAGAGGAGTAAGCTGAGCATGGCCTCTCCTTCTCGCCAAGCTCAGAGATTGCTTCAGCACTGAAGCAGCCTCTGGTGTGAAGGTCTGATTTGCAGCACAACCTCCTGATCGCATCACTGACTCGAAATCCCACCCCCACCAAGTGTTACCCTTGTCAAAGAACTCTTGGCCGTAAGCTAAGAAAAGAAAAATGAGTTCCTTTCTTCCTTTATCTTTCTTTAGTTCAGTGAACTCTCTCAATTTGCAGAGGCTTTCTTAAAGCTGGGAGTCTTCTCACTGAAAGTACTTGGAAGTGAAGCAGCGGATAAATGGACCATCCAGTACCTGGAGTTGATGTTGAGTTGAGAGTGAGTTATTAGGATGTGGAGAGAGAAGATGTTGAAGGCTGAGTTGAGTTGAGTTGAGTTATGGTTTAGAAAGACGAGACTGAACCAAATCCCTTTCTTTTTATACTAACTTCTCTCCTGTTTTGTTTTGGTAAGCAATCCTTCTGTTTTGGCTTCTCCCCCTTTTAGGCTGTCTTTCCATGTGTCATCTCTTCAACCTCATTGATTTCTTTTAACTTACCACTCTCCTCTATTTCTCCTGTTATTTTCCCCACTTTTCCAAGTAACTTTGGATTTTCACAACCAACCCCCACCTTATTGAAACATGATTTACTAACGACAAAAATTTAACAGTTAATCCTAACCTCTTTTGTTTTAAACGAAAAGAACAACCCCCAACCATAAAAAACTTAGATAATTCAGGTACGAATTAAATGGAAGAAAACAAACGTGTAAAGATGAATGATGGAATTAATTAAAAGGAAAAGTTAGAATCAATCAATAGATAAAAATATATAATATTTGCATTATTATGTCAGAGGAATCAAAACGTGATGATTGTATGTGATTAGTGATGAAGCCCTTTATGATATGGTGCAAGTTCTTTTGTTTAAAATGAATGAATATTTGATGAGAAGGGAGGGGTCCATGGAGATGGGATTCACATTGGTAGGAGCTTTATTGGGGGAGAGAGAAAATGAGCGTTTGAATTTTACACATCAGCCTTTGAAAGAAGGAAGGAAAGAGGAAGGGAGGAGAGCAGGAATTCAAAAGAGGTACGACTAAAGGCTTAAAGGAAGGAAGAGGGGAATGTGATGGGATATTTTTGCATTTCTTTTTTCTTTTTTTCTTTCACTTTTTCACTTTCGTTCATTCAATGTTTAATTATCAGTGTGTTCTTTATATGTAATAAAAGATGCAGAATGTTGGAATGTTGTCGAGAAAGAACAATTAAAAGGGTTTTGCGTCTTACCAAATATTCTGGTAGAGTAGTGAACAAACCCTTTTATTCCACACCTCTCTCTCTCTCTCTCTTGAATTTACTGTTTATGCTGCTTTACATTGTTTGGATATGTTTTTTCTCAAACAACTTCATAGCTATATATCAACTTTTCTTTTTAATATTTGTTTGTGGTAACAGGCCTCTCCACCTCACTACACTACGCATATGGAAAGACTTCATCCACTTTAGATGAGACAACCCGTCAAAGATGAAATAAAAACCAAAGAGACCTCAACACTTTTCATTGCTTACCATACAACTTGGAGGATCAAGGTTAGACTTTCAACTTATTTCGAACATTGCCATTTTTTCTTTGATATGTATGAGTGCATGAAACCACCATTTGACTCTATTATTATATTTAGTTGTAGAAAAAACACGTAGGATACAAAAAGAGAACGAAGACAGAAACTATTAGGATCTCAAAGAAAAGAACAAAAATTAAAGAGCACCGACTCATTTCCACTAAGACAAGATTCAAACATTCTCAACACTTAGTTTTTGAAAATTATAAGCAAAGAAGAACAAAACCCAGAGGCCAGAAGGCCGCTTTTAGAGTCAAAAGTGAAGGCGATGGCGTTCCAAATATGGGTCTCCAAGACGCTAATACACATCCTTCTGACCACACTTTAATCTGCCTCCATATTCAAGCTCTCACTTTCATAGTCAAACTCATAAAATCTCTTCCCACATTAATCCCCATGCAAAACCTTAGCTTTCCCATTCATAATTTTCACTTTATCCATACACTTTGGATCCTTCAACAACGTCAATATTCGTTGTAGAATCCCCCCCCTTTTTTTTCTTGTCAACTTACATTTTGAAATGTTTCCACTTTTTTAAAAGTGGATTTGTGTTTACCCTTACTATAGCTGGTATTCAAGTTTTAATGCATAATGCTCCAAAAAAAGAGGAGTGTGTTTGAATGACTGGAATTTTAGAAATCATTGAAACATGATCTATTAGGGTTTTAAGAAAGAAAGAAAGAAAGAAAGAAAGAAAGAAAAGGATACAAAAGTTGTTTGTTGAAAATCATTGGAACATTATGCTGAAAATTTAGAAAAACTTATTATTAATTGATTTGCTCTGCCTACAAGAAAAGTATCAATTTCCCTTTATAATTTTATGATCCAATGGCAGAAGATGGAGTCTAAGATTGTTCAATTTCCATTTCTTTCTGAAAATCTTAATGATTTGGTCTGCATTTAACACTACAGATTGTCAACATTAATCAAAAGTTATTCATTTGGAAAAATCCATAGCAACTTCTCCCATAGCCTCCAATTCTTAGATCTCACATCCCAATGGCCAGTTTCTCTTCATTTCTTTTTTCTTTTTTCTTTTATTAAGAATAATAAATTTGACGAATAAATCTTTATAAATATTGAAAAGTTTGATTTTTTTTTTTTTTTTAATCTTTAAGTATGGTTTGATACGTCAATTATAACTTCAACTTTCAATTTCTTCGATTCAAAGCATAAACTTGAATAGTAAATTACTAAGCAACAAATTCTTGAGAATAGCATTTAATGCTGAAAGGAAGGAAAAATTTTATTCTATTTATTACTAACATTTGACTGTCAACTTGAACACAAAAGTTTCAATGTTTTTCTTTTTTGAAGAAACAAAAGTTTTTCAATGCTTTTCATCATTTATGTCTTATAAAGATTTAAAGTATGCATATATACTCACTATATGTCACTACCTTATATTTCAACAACATCATAATAATCATCATAATAATAATTTTCTAAAATGTCACTTTTTTACCCTTCATATCATTTAATCAACATATGCATTTTTTTTAATTTATAGAACTTAATCTTTTAAAATTTTTTATTATTTCATTAAACCCTTTACTATGTTCCGATAAAAAGCTAATTGGTCATTGAATTATTGATCTCGCTATACTCAAAATTCTCTCTACCTTTGCTATACTCTAGATTGGTACACCACCCTTCTAGGATTGAGCCCTAAGATTCGATTCTCGGCTTAAAAGGCCACTTATTGAGGCTTTATGTCCAACCATTCTTTTTGTTAACATATTTGAATATTTTGACGTAGTACTTCTATATACATTAAAAGTCATTTCTTTAGGAGAGAGTACGTGCTTTGAGCATTTCAAAAGATTAAGGCCAAATTAAGAACTACCTAAACATTAGATATCATTTAGTATTTAGTATATGTTATTGTAGATCACCTAGTTAAGCCTAATAACTTCATTCTCCAAAAATATTTGTTTGTAAGAAGTTTTAGTATTAATCAAGATAATCATATATGTTAAGATGTCATTTATTTCTTACATTTAGATTTAGTTCGGTTTCGTTGAAATTTATATAGAGAAGAGTAAGAGATATTGAATATTTTAATTCTAAAAGAAAAAGAATATTATGGTTGTCAAAATGAAATTTGGAATCTACAGAAACAAGAGATTATTTGAAACTACCATATAAATTTGATGACAGCAAAATCTTTTTCACATTAAAATTACAGTTATGAAAATAAGTGAGGAAGAATATTCAAATCATAGAAATTAAGCTTTATTAAAGTAATGGCACTAATTTTAAAAAAAATATACAAAAAAGATGTATATTTAGAATTTATATAATATATATATATATATATATATATATATATATATTTATAAAAAACAGGCACATGAAAAGGTCGATCCAGCAGCCTCTATGGATCTCTCTGGGCTCACCTTTTGAAGTAACCTTTGGATTCGCAATGTCCACTGCAAAACCCATCACTTTCGATCACTAAAGATTCTGAATATTTCATTTTTTTAATGAAAATTTTATTTTATTTATAAAAAAAAATAATAAAAATTCTTGAAGGCAGCTTTCATCAGTTTCAAATTCTTTGCAGCTATTGCATGGGAATTTTAGGGGTTAGCTACTGAATGATCGTTTTCATCATTATGTTCTGTCCTCTATTCCTCTTTTGGGAGCCCCTTTATTTTTATTTTTAATTTCTTTTTATTTTAAATGCTTTTCTTTTTCTAACATCAAGGTTCTTTTTCTTCTTAAAAAATGCAACTTATTTTAAAACAATTTTAAAATAAATTTGCTGTGGAACTTCGTAAGGATACGACCGTTGAATAAAAACAATTTAACATCAACTTTCAATCGCCTTATACATCTGTGCTTTGAATATATTATTAGCACGTTTTTTCACACCACTTTAATTACCCTTTATGTGCTTTTCATCCTCTTTTTTCACTTTTCAATTTATGGTAAATATTGAAAAAGTAATTTCCGATCCGATTATCTGTACCGGTCTTCTGCATAGTTTGACGGATCAAAAATTCAAATTTTCTCAATAACATATTAGAAAAAAGCAAGCAAGGCTCAACCGAGCTTTAATCGTTCCAAGTAATGAAACATAATGCCTTAAATTACAATCCTCTTGACAAATACAATATCTCAGCATTCTAGAGTACAAAGATCCTCCTGTTCATAGTGACACAAATGTATGGTACAAACATGGTTGGGTTGGAATGCAGAGTAATACAAACAAGAAGCACACTTATTGAGCTGATTGTTCACGTTCCCACAGAATTTGTTCATCGATCTTGGTCAGCTTTTCGTCGTCTAGTCGCTTCCATGTCCTGATCCTCTCAACTCCCATCCAGCTCCTCTCGCCCTTAGCAAGTTCTGCCACGATCACCCGACCTCTCCTCGACCACCCGGGCCTTCCGTATCCATGATATCCAAACCCTCCACCATAACAAAACCATATTCCATCAAGATTCCCGCAGAAATCATTGGAATGGTCATGACCCATGAACACAGCTTTCACATCTCCCATGGCGACTAAGTTTTGTAAAACTCCCGAGTTCACTGAAGAACATGCCACGCCCTCCTGAAATTGGCCAACGATCTTTCTATAATAAAGATCCCGAACTTCTGGGATTGGTATGTGAAAAAACGTCAGGGCTGGAGGCTTCCCTTGGGAAGAAGCATCCGTTGAGGGAAAAAGGTCCCGATTTGTGCCCTGTTAGTGTGTGACCTGCAACATGTTAATGAAATCTAAATCTAGGAAATATCCCATCTGGGAATTGCAATAAATACCAGAACCAACATTTATTTTCTAGCTTCCGAGAGAGATAAATAAATAAAACAAGACACATTTTGATAATCATAAATTAAAAAATAATAAAAAAAAAGGCACCACAAAGGTGACCTTTTCAGATAAGAAAACCTAAACCATATTCTATCATACCTGAAATCTTTGAGAAACGTCTCTGAGCCACTGAAGCTGCGATTCCTTGATCCATCCATATGTTTGGGCTCCTTGCACTATATCTCTATCTCCACTGTCCAGAAAGTAAAGATTGAGGATGCTGGAATTCGCCAAATAAGAACCCGGAGCACCATATACATTGATATCATAATTCCCAAAACCATCGATGTTTTGTAAAATCTGATTTCCAGTTGAAGGAAAGTGGCTGAGTTGTGGGTTGGTCTGTGATACTGAATAATCCATGAGGGAAATGAAAGACATTAACTCTTCTCGAGTCATTGTAGACTCTTGATCATGGTTCCCCAAAATGGCCGCCCATGGAATTTGATATTCAATAACAGGACCAAAAACTCTAAACAAAGATTCGGCAGCATCAGAAGTACTTGGCCCAAATATGTTGTCACCTGATCAGGAAACTAAGTTCAGATTAGTTTCACACAATGACAATACAAACTCAAAAGTTCCATACAATTATAACCCAAAAGAGTAAGAAGCTAAACGTTAGAGTAACACAAGGAACAAAAAGGAGATTTTCTTCAAGAAATTTGGATCAAACTACCTCTAAATTATTGGTTCGGCTAACATGAAAAGGGTTAAAACATATGTTCAGCAAAGTGCTAAAAAAGAAACAATAACATCCCATGAACAAAATGTATTATTATATTAGAGATGTACTATTGCATTCTGGTCGGTCTGATTACTAGAGTTCTCCTTCATGTGAAGACCAGCAAACAATACTTAAAAACAGAACAGGCAAGAAAATTTTCTTACACCAAGGATAGGTTTTCATCTTATATGATTAATTAAGACGACGTCATTTCTTCGGGCAGGCAACCTCATTCTGGGACCACCAGCCTACCTCCAAAGTATCTTAAAGATTAAAATCCCCTTTTCAAGTCTAATTACTATGATTGAAAGGCTGGATTATGGCCAGGAATAAAGATTTGGAACATCATAGATGATATACCTTAGAAGTATTTTATGAAGTCTTTGGCATAGCTAATAAAATTAATTAGACCTTAAACCTCTTGAATTTCTAGCTCAAGTTTGACGCCACTGAATTAATGCCATATCATCCGTCTACAAAGTTATCAAGACTTGTTGCAAAGTTTTACTAAAATTAACCCTCCAACTATTCCTTTTCTCCAAATTTTGATTTTAAAAAAATCTGCTATACATCAGGAAAGCAATACCTCTCACCGTAGCTGAAGCTACATGGCTTCATTCTTTTTTACAGAGAAATAGTCCTTGTGTGTGCCCTCCTCAGTTTATATTCACCCTTTTATTTAATGAATCGACTCTTACCCATTCAAAGTAAAAACTTCTTCTTTCCAACAAAATGCTGATCCAACTCTTTTTCATCCTATTCTATTTCCTAGACAAGAAGATCAAATCTCAAATGACAACTACGCACACCCATCAACAAGAAAGATAAAGGCATCATCAATTTGCATAAACAATAGCATTTAGTAACAAAAGAAATATGGATGGCCAATATAGATTCCAATAGTTTTTTTGTGCGGTTCTTCAATGTGAAGTTAAACTATCCACAGTCAAAAGAATTTTAAAGACATTCAAATGGGGACGAATACAAAGAATGACAAGAATCAGAAAATACAGACTATACTGCCTATACCAAATCCAGTGAGATGACACTAAGAGAACTTCAAAACACAGAAAATGAAAGAATAAAAACGATCAAAGCGTGAAAACAACAGTAGGGTTAAAAAAATAACCTGTAAATGCAATGAAATCAGGCTTTTCAGCATCAACCATCCTCTTGAAAAACCGCGTCGTATTAAGATCCGAACAGTATTTGAACTCCGAATCCATCATATCCCGACACCGCGAATTAACTCCATTCGCAAAATGCATATCGGCCACCTTACAACCCAAACAAAAATATCAGCTCCATTTTATAAAAATAAAAAAAAAAAAATCCCATCACAATAACCTTAAACTTCAAATAAAAAGTAAAACAGAATGCAAACCTGGAGAATCTTGAAGGTTCCATCGGAACGGAAACGGAGAGGAAGATCCGAGTTCCTCTTGATGCGAACAGGTTCATATCCTAGAAGTAACTTCTGGAAAACGAGAGAATGAAGGAGAAAGATAATCGAATAGATAAATCCAAGATAGAGAATCGAAACCTTCCATTTATCCGCCAAAAATTCCATTCGTTTCCAGTGGAAGCAGAGAATTTCGAAGTTCAAACTGATTCATAGGTTTTCGATCCACTTAAGTGTTTCGTTCCTTTTGAAGATTCAATGTTATTCCGAAAGAGACGGGAAGAAAGATGACTATTTATACAAATGGATAATAGTCTGGGATTTGTTGAGATACTGTGGCCCATTAGGCCCAACCCACCTACAAAAAGTTTTCCATGGGCCTGATTAAGTGGGCCCGTCCATTTAAAAAACAGAAAAGGCCCAGACAACTAACCACTAGGCTAGTGGGCCTAGTGGGCCTCCAATTTTTCCAAAAACAAAATTGGAATTTAAAAAAAGTAGACTCCATTCTCCCAAGATGTTTGCCAATGTGTACTCTTGAAATTATAAATGCAATATTTTTTTTTGTCGTAATTAAATATAATTTTTTTAAAAAAATATTTAATTAACTTCAATATAAATCAATATATAACTAACAAATGTCTAAATTTATTAATCTATTCTCAATAAATCTTTAACTAATTATCATATTTTCCTATAGATTTTGAAAACACATTAACTGTTTTTTATATAACAAAAATTATTATTATTATTTTTATAAAGTTTGATTTCAAACAAAAAAAAAAAAAAAAAAAAAAAAAACTAAATTTAAGACTAAATTTAAATGTTTAAGTACAAAAATTAAAATAGATTCACTCTTGAATAACATGTAATCGTCCAAGTTTACTGCTAGAAAATATTGTCTGTTTTGGCCTATTATGTATGGTCATCACCTTCATGATTTTTAAAGTACGTTTAATATCTCACAATCCACCTCTTTAGAAGATAAGGTCCTCGCTAGCACACTACTTGGTATCTGGCTAGAATACCAATTGTAACAGTCCAAATCCACCANAAAAAAAAAAAAAAAAAAAAAAAAAAAAAAAAAAAAAAAAAAAAAAAAAAAAAACTAAATTTAAGACTAAATTTAAATGTTTAAGTACAAAAATTAAAATAGATTCACTCTTGAATAACATGTAATCGTCCAAGTTTACTGCTAGAAAATATTGTCTGTTTTGGCCTATTATGTATGGTCATCACCTTCATGATTTTTAAAGTACGTTTAATATCTCACAATCCACCTCTTTAGAAGATAAGGTCCTCGCTAGCACACTACTTGGTATCTGGCTAGAATACCAATTGTAACAGTCCAAATCCACCATTAATAAATATTGTTTATTTTGGTTCGTTAGTGTTGCCATCAGATTCACAGTTTTAAAAATGTTTCTACGTCTACTTCCACACTCTTATAAGAAATGATTCACTTTTCTCTCCGAGATGTGGGATCTCACCGTACACAATCATTTAACTTTAAATTCAACCCTTCAAAATATCTCAACTATTTTAAAATAGAATTTAGTCAAATAGTAATATTCTTTCTTTATTTAAAACTTAGTATTTATGGGAATTAATTGGAGTGTGATTTAGAGCTATTTCTCAATTTATTTCATTTAAAATCCTATTAAATCCCAAGAAAAATTATCTTTTAAATTAGTAAAAATTTTATATTATGAAATAAAAGATAAAATGAATGCGAGACTTGAGATTGTATTATTAACTTTTTTCGTATAATTTTAGAAAAAAAAATTAATATAAGGGAAAAAATTCAAGTCGGGATGGTCCCAATTCGATATACTATTGTTTGAGATTCGAATCACTCTACAAGCAAGATTGATTATGTCGAGCTTGAATGATTCTACATGCAACCTAGACTATATATAATTGCAAATAAACTTAGCTATTGGCTAAAGAAAGTACAAATACTTTTTTTACTATATATTTTTTAAGTCGGCTTACAAATACATATACATGGCTTTATATAGCTTCAAAATGAAACTACTAAAGGCATTCCAAGAATTGTTACACTCATATTTAATGGCCATAATTATCCATTAAAGTAAATAAAAACTCTTAAAATATATTAATAAAATATAATAACTCTAAATTGTAATCCACTCAAAATTTATCACATGAAACTTCATTTTGCTTCAATGTGGCATGAATTGAAATATCTTTTTGATAATTTCAACAATATTTTCTTCACATCTTCGTTGAAGCATATTGTATGATTGATATCCCTTGGTTCATATCACCGACAGTCAGACATATTCAGTGCCCCTAACTTAGCACTCAACGCATCAGTCAGGAGTTCCACTGAGACAAGTAGACTAAGAATACTCATACACATTCATATCATAACTAGCTCATAAACATAGTCATATATCCTAATTACTACGCTCACGTCTTATACATAAAGCTAATAACTCGTCGTGCAACCCTCACATTAGGGCCCGCTATGCCAAAAACAAGAAAAATCTCTCCCCTTTTATTCCAACCCAATGTTGGCACACGAGGGGACATGTGGTGTAAGAAAATAATATAAACATGTGGAAAACGTCATAGGACGAAGAATAATTATATTACTAATTCTAAAGCTTATTATTACTATAATTGATCCGTATTAATTGACATAGACAAGAACCAAAAATTTCACGACATATTATTATGAAAATAATTTTTAATTTTTTAACTCAAAAGTATTATGAATTGAATGAACCTATTTATGGAAATAAAGTACAGGAAGAAAAATGATGAAACGTAAGTATGTATGTCATATTATGTCCTTTTCATGATATGTCCCAAGAAAGAATTTGTTTTATTGAGATTGTGTACTTTTCAGACACGTATCACTGCCCGAATGTTGAGAGTAGTTGTATATTTATACGGTGCATTGATTTGGTTACATGTCGTAATTTAAGTTGTCATGTTTCATTTATTCCTGTATTTTTCGAAATTGTGTTAGAGTCACAATTAGTCAATATAACCTTTACAATACGGTATGAAAACATTATTCTATATAATTTTTACTAAAAAAAATGATAATTTAATACTTCATAATTTTAACGGAAATACATATATACATCTTCGACACTTTCTTAACTAGGAATGTAAAAAAAAAAAAAAAAAAACGATTTGAGTTGCGTTATAAATTTATTTCGCATACAATTATATATATATTATTTAACCAATTCAATTTTTTAAAAAAAGAATTTTAGTTAATTTTTTTATTTTAAAAATAATTTTTAAATTTCATATATTTTACAAACAAGTTCTAAAAGTATAATATTAAATTATTATTTTATGGGCTATAGGATTTGGTTCGACAGCGATGATATTGCTTTCAAATTAATTTTAACGAAATTTAATTATAAAAAAAATTTGAAATCTATGATATATTTATGATTAAAATTGAAAGATAACAAATTTGGAAATTATACATATTTAGAAAAAAGAAAAAAAAATGAAGAAATTGAGAAAAGTATCCAATAAAATATAAATAATTTGGTAAGGTTTAGATGTGTACACGACAGGATTTTAGCGCCGCTATCGCCACCTCGACTGTTTGCCGAAGTGAATTTTATGTCCCATTGACGTCAGCGAATTAAATCGTGTTAATTTGAATTAATTTAATTATAAATAATTAAAGTTGTCATAAATTTGGGCGGTGGAGGTGGGGGCAGTTTACTCTTTTATTTTTCCCCTCAAATTTAATGTTTTTTTATTTATTAATTTCAAAAAAATGTTTGTTGTAAATTCATCTATTTAATCTAATATTCATAGGATACGACAAACATATGTAGACATGCATAAACGTAATTGGGTATGTCATATTTTGTTGTTTTTATGATAACATTCAAACGTTGTCCAAAGGGTACTTGCATTATTGTTGCATTTACAAGGTTTGCCTTGGACCACACACAACACATGTGCCACATGTTATAAACATTAACATGACTATGTTCATTAGTGTTTGGTTTCAAATTGCCGGTCGTCATTCAAATAATTGTATGTGAGATTCAAAATTAGTTGGGAGGAGAATCATTCATTTTTTTTTTTTATAATGGTGTGTAAACCTCTTCTTAGTAAATGTGTTTTAAAAACCTTAAGAGGAAGACGGAAAGAAAAAATCTAAAAAAAACAATATTTGCTACCGTTCGTTATAATATCTGCTATCGATAGACTTGGGTCGTTACCTTGTCAAGGATAAACTGGTAGGCTTAAGGTTCATAAAATTGTTTGAACATTGGAACGCGTACATGTTCACAATGAATGATAGAAAAAAGTTATATCTTTCTACGCGGAGTCGATTTTTCTTTCTAATATCTCGACTTTCGTCTCGAAAGTTTGTGGGGGCATGTGTTTTTTTCTAAGTTTTGAATGTTTGTGATTATATTAATAACAATTTATTTTAAAATAAATAATGAAATTCATATATATCTTTTCTAAGTTAGTATGACTCGTTTCTCTCGCGTAATCAAGCATCGTATGATATCGTCCGGCTCTTGCCCTATTCATCATTGTTTCTCCTCATCGTTTAATTATTATGGCTTGCTTCATCAGTAGCTCTCAAGACCAACTGTATGTGTAACGACTCAAGTTCATTGTTAGCATATATGGTCATTTTTAAGGTTTCCCTCACGGTTTTAAAACATGTCTTCTAGGGAGAGGTTTCCACACATTTATAAAAAATGGTTCGTTATCTTTCTAAACTGATGTGGGATCTCACAATCCACAATTCTTTAGGGCCCAGCGACCTCACTGGCACTCATTTGAGCTTCCCCTCAAGGTTTTTAAAATAGGGAGAAGTTTTCACACCCTTATAAGGAATGCTTCGTTCTCATTCTCAACCGATGTGGGATCTCACAGTAAGAATCTCGATTGGACATTCAGTTTTTCAACTCTAGTGTTCAATTGGGTAAGTAGAATTTTCGTAGATTTGGTTCCAACCATCATCGCTGGCCTCTCACGATCAATAGTAATTGCACACTTCCTTAAAATTCATGCCTTAGAGCATAAACTCGAGCATCTAAAGTCAAAATAACTTAAAACAAACAAAATTACATCTCCTGATGATTTTTATTATGTCGGGAGAAAATCATTTGTAGAAGCTTAAATTCGATTAAAATCTCGTGAAATGGAACATTGTAATTCGAAAGAATTTTGAAGGGTTTTGTGAATGTGGACCATAGCCTAAATGAAAATGTGACTTTTTAGGGTTCTTAGGCCCCATGTTACACAAAATCATGTGCTTTCTCAATCAACCTTTAGACTTTTTCTTCCCAATTATTCTCTTGTTTAGAGGTCTTTTGGGTGACAAAGACCTTCCTTATGATATATCATTTTCCTTCTCAATATATTCAATTTTTCAAACACAAAACTTCGTCTCTCACATTGAATTTTTATTTTTTATTTTAATAATAATTCTATAATAATAATGTGATGTTCATCAAATTTTAATTAATTTTAATTAATTATGTCACCGAACAATTCTTTTATTAAAAATTTGTGGTAAGTATCGCGGAGTTACAAATATTTAAAAGCTTAGAGATTTATTAAGTTTAATTAACCCTTTTTAATTAACAATATAATGGATTTTTTTTTAATTATGATTTTTTAAATTTTTAGTCAATTGTTTATTGTTGAGTTAAGCTTAGAATTATCTGTAAATATTCCTAATTCTTAGCCAACAATTAGGTTGGAATAAGGAAAAATCATTATCTAATAATTGTTGAAGCTTATCGAGACTCCATCAATTCCAACTAGGATGGGTCGATAGTGTACGAATTTTAATTGAGATTGATTAAGATGGTTCCATAAATTGCTTAACACGTGTCAAAATATTTTAATAAAAAAAAAGTTAAATAGGTTGGTGCAACAGTACAAATCCATTGCTAATAGATATTGTTTGTTTTGACTTGTTACTTATCGTCATTATTCTCACAGTTTTAAAATGTGTTTGATAGGAAGAGATTTGATTGTCCACAATTGTGAGATCCCACATCGGAGAGGGGAACTAAACTTTTCTTATAAGGTTGTGAAAACCTCTCACTATTTTAAAATTGTGAGTTTGACAGTGATATGTAACGGGCCAAAACGGATTTTGACTGTTACAAATGGTATCACGATCAAGACAATGTGGAAAACTAATTTAATTTAATGAATATATTAATAAAGGTTAAAATGGTTTTTTTTATAATAAAAATAGGTTTAATAACATAATAATTTTCATGTATGAATGTTAATGAAAACTAAAATAACATAATGATAAGCGACAAGTTTTTAACTTCATTAAAATTAACGAAATAAATTTAAATATTTGAAAGGAAAATAATATTTTAACAAAACGTTTAAAAATACTACTTAGAACTCTCCTTTCAATCCGAATGTCAGGAGATCCGCCGTCAGCGGCGGAGCAGGAGAGAAAGACGGCGAGAATATTAGCAACGCGAAAAAACAATTAATTAATTAAAAAAAAAAAAAGAGAAAATAAATATTTTTTCTTTTAAAAAAAGAAAAAGAAAAAAGAAAAGAAGAGTCGAGAAACAGCGATTCGCAACGAATCGATTTGCGTAAAGAGCTGAGGTAAGCGGATGACGTAATAATTAAGTAAACCGGTTTGTACTTTTTTTTTATTTGCAAAAGTTATTTAAAAAATTATTCTCCTTGCCCTCTTCCTTCCACTTTCAGGTTTATTTTATATTATCTTCAATATATCTTTATTAATTCTTTTTTTTATTTTAATAAGAATTCTAACTTTTCTAAATAAAGTATTTTTGTGGGGTTTTTAAAATTAAATTATTATTTTTTTCAATTTTTTTTTTGTTTCTATTAATTTTTTTTCAATAAATTTTGAGAAAATATTCATAGTTTTGCAAATTAAATAAAAATTAACTTCTGATTAATAATGAGTACAAAAATGAAAATAAAGTTATTTTTTAAAATTTTAAAAGAACAAGTGAGTAGGTAGCAATAATAGAGTATCATCCAACGAAAGGACGCCACGTGGCAATATAAAAAACAAATGAAATCAATCAGGATCTGCAATTTTGGTATTAAAAAAAAGTGTTCGGAGGAACTGTTTCGTTTCCGGCGTACATTAAAAGTTTAATTTCAGTCCGTTCCTGGCGTTTTCAAAACCCATGCTCTCTAGCGGAGCGTGTGCCACAACCTCTCCATTTCATCGAGAGCCAAAATTCAAACTTCTTGGATATCAATTGAATTATATTTAAGTAAATAAATTTATATCATTTTTTTTTTAAATTTTGATTTTAATTTACTTTGAGTTTCATATTTAAGTAAATAAATTTATATAATTTATTTTATTTTAATTTGATTTTAATTTACTTTGAGTTTTGTTTCATTTTTATTTAGAATTTTTTTAATATAATTATAACTTTTAAAGAACAAGTAAGATGATAATTTAATTTTAATATATTGTTATCAAATAAATTAATCCACATTATGAATGGAATAAACAAACAACATGAGAATGATCGACAAAGTAATTAAATAAATCACAGTCACATTGAAACATTTAAAATTATTTATTGTCAATTTCTTAATTTTTATGTCTATTAATTCACCGAGAATAAATTCTAAAATATATTTTTTAAAAAGAAATAAAAAGTAAATCATTTATATTTTTGAAATATGTAAAGTCAAAAAAATATGTCACTGTTAAACTAGCAATAATTTATTCGGAGTCATCTAAATATAACCTTTTTCAATTATTTTTATTCATAAGTCTAAATTTTAAAATGATAGAAATTAAAGTTTAATTTTATAGATTATATATATTAAATTTATAATTAAATTAATATCGACATATTTTTAGACAGCTATTCAATTATTGAACTAAAAAAAAAGAAAAAAAGAAACAATGAAAGGTGAGTCGAGCAAAAGCCAGTTAAAGAAAATGAAAGAATCGTTTGCGAGGACACCTGGACGGTCAAGATCTTTCCAAGAGATATCAAGACTTCTGATATACAGGTGGGTGATAGGAAATTCCCCGCAGGTCACTGTAGCGTCGCCCTTTCCCTATATATTTAACGGATTACAAGGGGAAATTCCATGCCTGCCCAAATATCAGATGGTCAGAGGGATAGCAGCAACATAAATTACAGACTTGTTATTATTATTATTATTATTATTTAAAAGAGAAAAAAAAAATTCCTCTCCGTCGAAGCAAGAATCGGAAGACGACGACGTCGCCGCCGCCACTGCCGTGCTAACTACCGTCACCACCGCAGGGAACAAAGAGTATCGAAGAGGATTAAATGAATTACTTGGAGAATGGCGTGTTCATGCCCGAAGATCTCGGCAGGTTTATTTTCTTTTTATTTCTCTATTTTCTGTATCTTTTGAAAATGTTGATCAGCGGGATGAAGGTTTAGGGATTTTTGAATTGGAATTTGACGCTGGAGTTTTGGTGAGGACAGTTGGGGACTTGACGATCTGGTTCCCAGCTACTATGATTCCAGTTCGCCGGAGGGAGTTCTATCGCCATCGGCGGCTTCGAAGAACATAGTATCGGAGAGGAATAGGAGGAGGAAGCTTAATGATAGGCTTTTTGCACTTCGAGCGGTGGTTCCAAATATTAGTAAGGTTAGAATCAAATTTCTGGTGTTCGATTTGATAGTTAATACTTGATAGACCTGTTTTTGTAGTTTTGGAATTTGAAATTAATCGATCGAGAAATGCAATTGAGCAGATGGATAAGGCTTCCATTATTAAAGATGCAATCGATCACATTCAGAAGTTGCGTGAACAAGAGAGGAGGATTGAAACTGAAATTTATGAGCTCGAAGCGGGAAAGTCAAAGAAGAAGATAACGCGGTATGAGTTTGAGCAGGAGGTGCCATTGTTGCATACACCAAAGAGGACTAAAACAGAGCAGTTCAGCTATTACGATTCTTCTGCTACAAGATTTTCTCCCATTGAAGTGCTGGGTGTAAGCTTCCTAATCTCTCTTTTCTTTAAAACCTTCAAGTAATGAATTGATTGGAGATTCTGATGAGATTGGATTGTGAATTGCAGTTAAGTGTAACGTATATGGGGGAAAGAACAATCGTGGTGAGCTTAACATGTTGCAAAAGAGCAGATTCAATGGTTAAACTATGTAAAGTTTTTGAATCACTGAAGCTCAAGATCATCACTGCCAATATCACTGCTGTCTCTGGAAGGCTTTTGAAAACTGTGTTCATCGAGGTAACTAAACTAAACTGAATGAACTATTTTGTTTGATTCTTCCAAAACTAGTCAAATGGGTTCAAAATGCATATAGATGGGACAGTTACATTTTCTCTGAATATAACTATAAGAAGAATGAAATGGACAAAATCTGAAGAGAAAATAAGAAACTCGTGGCCTTGCTACGAAATTGGGTATGTTTCTTTGGTTTTTTCAATCATTGAGATTGAAGACAATTGATCAATTGATCCTCGAAAAAGGAGGAGAGCGAGAGAGATGCTGATTTGTTTTTGCCTTGGTTTCAATATCATGTCTTTTGTTTTGTTTTTGTTTTTGTTTTTGTTTTGTTATAATAATTATGTCGTTTTCTTTGAGCAGTATCTCTGTTATATTGTGCTTTTTGAATATAAAATGTGTTTACCCCATTTTCTTTAAGATATGGAGTATATCAAAATTGTGATATGGCTTTGTGATTGTGTGGGCAGATGAGTGAGACATTTGGGTGCCAAGGGACTGTTTTTGATTGTTTTCAGAAACTGCTTTTTTTTTTTTTATTTTTTTTTTATCACAATTTCTAAAAAGGCATCATTTTTTTTCTTGTGTTACATATTTTGCCAGCAGATTTTTTTTTTTTTAAAGTTTATAACACCATTACTAAATTCAGAGAATATCTGAATTTTATGCAAATTAAACAACAACAACAATAATAATAATAATAAATAATGCTTCGTTTTTAGCAGTTTGGATTTTCATAAATTCTTACTATAATTGGATTATAGTCAAATATTAAAAACACAAATTAGTTTTACTTATATTTTTTTAGTAGAATAAATAAAGTAACCAAGGGCTTAATTTTCAAGAACTAGAAATAAAAGACTATCCTTATGAAATCGGAGTTTATTATTATTATTATAACGTTCTAAACCATTAATGGGCACTCAAATGATAAGCTGTTCAACCAGTTAAGGATAAGATTATAGAGCCATCAAGGAAAGCAAAAGAATGTGTATAATGCAAATAAAGAATTTGTGGGCTCATAGTCAATGGAATCACTTTGTCAAAGTGGAAGATCCACTTGTGATGCAATTTCTGAGGGGTTGGGAGTGATAGCATTTTGGCATTCCATTCTGTGGGTTTTTATCCTTTCTGAAGTTAATTACTTATCTCTCGTAGGCTTTCTTTGTCATGAAGGAGAGATCTATTTAGATATACCAACTCCTATAATAAGCCGAACTCCATGATCTAATTAGAATTATCCTTTGTGGAATTGCAGGCTGGACAAGAGGAGAGAGATCTCTTGAAGATTAAAATAGAAACAGCCCTTGCAGGTCTTAATGATTCCCAAAGCCCCGTGAGTATCTAATCTAAGCCAACAAACCGAAAAACACACACGAGTGAGATCGATGAACACAAACCATCTTAGCCATTTGAAAAATGGTTCCCTCTCCCTGCTCATAGTTTTCCATTTTTGCTCTTTATTGTGGTTGTCAAGTCACATAAAGTGTGTTTCATAGATCAAGAGTTCTTCAAGTGGTTCATAAAATTCTTTTCTTGGTCCTAAGAGGGAACAACCATTTGGTTTGTTGGTTCGAAATCACAAATCTCGAGGTTTTGAAATTCAAGGAGTTAGTATGCTTTTAGATTGCATTTTCACAAATCTCGAGGTTCGAAATTCACAAATCTCGAGGTTTAGGATTAGTATGCTTTTAGATTGCATTTTCCAATCTGTACTTGATAATTTGATTTTGAAGCTTATCAATAGTTTGATCAATTTTGTTTGAAGTAATTTTTCTATGAGATAGATGGCTGAACATACTCCGGAATGAACTGAACTCCTCCTCGTGGTTATCACTCTCATATACTAACATCAAAGCAAGACGGATAAAGAGAATTGAAAAAGAAGATGGAATGATTAATATTGAAGGGGCAGTCAAATGAGAGTTTGAGTATTGAGAACGTGGGTCTGATACCCATGTTCGCAAATCAATCAGAGAAAATGTTCCCCAATTCCCAGCTCCCATTCATATCATGTGTGGCCTCCTGTCTCCCCACCACCTCTCTCTTCCCCTACCACTATCACACCCTCTCGGGTTGCATTTCCTCACTCCCTAAAGTTTCCAAACATGGAGATAGGTAGGGGAGAAAGTTTTTGGATTGAGAGCTTTGCAAATGGGTCACTATTATTGAAAAGCAAAAGCTATTTAGTTTACCAATGCTAAATAGTTCATTGGTGTTGGAATACGTCTTCATCAGACAGAATCATTCCAAAATGTCAGATGAAATACCAACACACGGGAAGGAGATGGATTCTATTGCTTTGAAGTTTTAACTGGTCTTGCTATGGTGACCAACTAAATCAGAATAGAACATTTTCTAATCTTCAAAGAAAAGAGCGCAAGAGTTTGAAACCTATTCACCAAATTGAACCAACATTCCAACTCAATTTTACCAATAAAAAGTAATCTTTACCTGCACTTCAAGCTGTTTAGACCCACCATTACCACCATCCATCAGCATTCCCAACTTTGCTACACCACAGATGTGCGTCAACTCGAAGACACAGAACTAAGATAGCATTGTTGAAACTGCTCATTCTTCAACATAGAAGGAACAGAGTTGCAAAACGTTCTAATGTAGACAGATAAAGCGTACATATATGTATATAAACCATGCAAGTTAGTAGTTTTTAGCATGCTACCTCCGTGGAGCACATGAATTACATACCGAAGTAGAAGAGTATCTTTAGGAATCACCAGCCATACTTGGCTTGTGTTTCAGCCTTTGTAAGAAGACCTCTTGCACGCCTCTCCGCTAATTCCGTCTCTTTCTGCTTCATATCATAAAACAGCGATGTAATTTGGTGCTTTCTCTTGTGCAACTTTGAGGGCTTCCCTTTTGTCGATGAGGCAGGCTACAGAATAGAACAGGCAAACAAACATATGAGTACAATGGAGAAGTTAAAAAAACTTCGAGCTTTCATTTAGAGAAATGAAAGGTAAAAAGGAAGAAACAAAAATACAAAATATAGGACATCAATATGCCTAACACATGCTCATATTTAGCCATCATTTGGTTGATATAGTTCTTTTAACCCACATTCGCAAAGAGATAAGAAAAGTCAAATACCCAAAAAAGGTCAAAGTTTTATTTGGGAAACTCAATGAAGAGCATCAACACAAGACAAAATTCAGAGAACTCCTAGTGATGCCCTCTCCCCCACTGAAGCCCTATTTGCGAACAAGGTTCTCCCAAACCATAGTCTGGATAGAAGGGCCATTACTCAATTGGACTAAAATGGTTTGGCTTGATTTTTTAAAGTATGTCCTGCAAAGCAACAGAAAGAGTGCCTGAGATGCTTTACTAGGGAAGCACCAACTGATCCCAAAAGTACTCAAGAGATCACCCCAACGAACAGCAGCATACAGGGAAGTAAAGAAAAGGTGCATCAAGGACTCCTCATTTTTCTTACATAGAACGCACCAGTTGAGGGAGATTGAGATAGACGGCATAGTTCAACTAATGCTGCGAATGTGTATAACCTTTCATATGCAAAAATCCACCAGAAAGCTTGAACTTTCTTATGGGCTCAGAATTCCATATTGATTCAATATAAAGAGGAGCAGATGATGATTTGGTATCAACAGCCTGACCATAAAAACTCCATTGTTTTCAAGCTTATGAACTTCACAGCTAGCCTGTCATCAGGGCCAAAGCCAACAAGAGCTTCGGAGAGAGCCAACCATTCAACCACCTCCAAATCTGTTAGGTTCTAATGTTTCTTTGAAACCATAAAAGTCAAAAAGAATGATTGAACTGACTACACCCAAAAAAAAAAAAAAAAACCCTTTTGATAGTTCCTCAAAGGAGCTTTTTGTTTTAAACTGTTACAAGAAATTCAAGAATACAAGGGCATTGGAAAAAAGAAAAAACCCATAAAAGTAGGAGGCAAACTAAAGAAAGGGCTTCCAATCAAGCAAAATAAAACCTAACCGGTAATTACAAAACCACTTAGCCACTGAAGCCCACAGAGATAGGCTGTACCTAATAAAAGCTCAACTGCCACTCAAAAACCTCTCAAGCCGTCTTTCAAGTGGACATGTGGTTGTTGGATTAGTATGGGAGTGGAAGATGAAAAGAAAATTCACTGCTACAACACTTTTGTGGAGTTTGTGGATGGAGCAGAATATAAGGAAATTGGACAATAAGAGTTCTTCTCCTGCTTAATGCTTTTTGGTAGAGACACCTAAAAGGAGTTCTCATTATCCTTCTCAATATTAAGCTCAACACCTCTCTAAACCATTATGCCTAAAATGTCCACAACCAATAAGTTTCCACCAATACACTTGATCAAACATAAAAGGAGCTATTAATCAATTCAAATAGAATACCAACTAGTAGAAAGATGGTGAATAGAGACTCCTAGCTTCCACAACTTTCTTATCCTCCCCACCCTCAAATATATTCTCCCTCCCTAAGTATGGCAAGATGGCAACAATTCGCTAAGTTCTCTCAATTTCAAAGCAATCGCCATCTACAAGTGTGTGTTCTCTAGAACAATTTTTCTTAGCTTAATTAAGTGTACTTGATGGTGGTGTCATAGCTTTAATAAATTATTTAGTAAATACCCTTACTCCCAAAGTGCCTGGAATGACATTTTTTCCCCATAAATATCTTTATGTTCCTCTCAGGTCAAAGAGACTAAAGAAAATCTCTTGATAAAGTAACCCAGATTAATCTTTGCATTCCTTTTGAAGATGTGCACCAAAATATGTGTAAGGAGACTCTTGATATCATTAGGCAATAAGTTGCCCAACAAAATGCGGAAAGAATAAAGCTCCATAAGTGACAGTCATAAATAGTCTAATATGAGGGGAGTTGTCTTTTGATTCTATCTTGAATGTTGATATTGTCGAATATGAGTAGCGACGAGAATAACTTAATTCTTCTTTGGGTATTTACCTCACAGTAACTATTCTATTTCAATCATGCATGCCAATTGGAGAAAAAGAATAACTCCGGTTAACTTTATGGGAGGATTTCATTAGTAAATCTCAAGTATCATAAAAATGTTTCTTTTATACTATGAGTATCCAACTTGCACTCAACTAATCTCACAATACAACTACCTGACCACAACATCCATTAGTATAATTTTAATACTCGAGAGGTGACCACCAACCATGACAATTGAATCCAGCCCAAGATAATTATGCATAAAAACCCAAGTAGAAGATCGATTGAAGAGTGATTTTACCATCTTAGCGCCATATAACATAAATATCCAATGCGGTCACATCGACTCTAATCTTTCATTAGATGGCACTTTTTTTTATCTTCTATACTAAAAATGACCAATAAACCAAGGACGTAGACTTGCTGATATAATATCCAAAAATAGACAGAGATAAACCATAAGTTGATAATGCAGCAGTTTTCTGATATAATATACACCAGAAAACCTCATTGTATGTCTATGTTATCTTGCCATGAAGCTATAAGTGGCTTACCTGGTAAGAAGGACCAAAAGCAATTCCAGTTAACTTGACCTGGTCCTGCCTTGGCCGATTCTTCATCAATTCATCCTGCTTCACCTCAAGTATTTCTGACGGAATTTCATTTCTTCTTCTCTTTTCATGTATTCTAACAACATTTGCAGCGTCCATCATTGCGGGCTGATCAGCAGGATCACTCCCATATTGTATGTGATCAGCATAGTTACCATAATTCTCATAACTTCCATAGTCACCAGCGTTAATTCCACTAGAGACAGATGGTGCTTCACCAACCACATTTTGACCAACACTATAGTGGTAACTCCCATAACTATCATAGCTTGCATAATTCCAAGCATTCTGTTCTGTACCAACGTTGTAAACTGCTGCATTATCATAGTTCTCCGTATGACTGGCAATATTCTGCTCAACACCTGAATTGTAATTTACGTAACTACCGTAATTTTCGGCATCGTGATCAACTTTTTGAGTGCTACCTGAATCATTCACTACTTTAGAACCATCAGAAGACGCAACCGGAACATCTGTTTCAAGAATCGACCTTCGCCCTGAGCCTGAGCTCGACATAACTCCCAAAGTTGCCGAATGCTTCGGCGCTGGAATGCTTGACAAGAACGACGTCACAGTAGGGGTTTGGAATGAGGACTGGGATGCCTTTCGGCGCCTTATTTCCTCTTCTTCTTCATCGTCATCATCATCGTCATCTTCACCCAATTTCAGCAAAGAAGAATTAACGGGTGGCTTAAATAGAACGACCCTTTTTGGCTGGGACTCCGTGGACGAGGGATTTGATTTAGATTTCTGCAAATTCTGTGAATTAGGTTGCGGAAGGGAAGAAAACATAGATGCCGATTCCGTGAGATTCTCATCACCATCACCGTCAAATCGAGAACTAGACGTGGAGGACGACGATCTCGTAGGATTCCCCTTAGGCCGTGGAAGGGAAGAGAAGATAGATGAAGGTTTAATTGAAGCAGTACCTAATTTAGACCCCGAGAGCGAATCTCCTTCCTCTACGTCTTCGTTCTTATCATTCTCGAAGAACCCAGTGGGCAGAGAAGGCTTGGAGGACTGTTTGGGCTGGGGGAGGGATTGGAATAGCGAGGAAGATTTGGACGGGGGAAGAGACGATAAGAAAGTAGAGGTTTCGGAGGAGGAGGAGGATTTCGGTAACTCGGATCTCTGAGGCGCGCTAACAGACAACGGTGGCTGCGTCGGCGGCGGTGGCTGCTCCTGTTCTTCGTCGTCAGAGGAGGCGTAGTTGGCTAGCAGTGAGTCCATGAGAGGGCACAGAAAGAGGGAGAGATGCGGAGCTTTTGGAAATGGGGTAATGGAGGCTATGGCGGTAAGCGGCGCGTTTTCTCGTGGAGAATGGCTCGCTGGTCCACGAACTTTTCTTTCTTGGTCTAATCATTTTTTTTAAAACTAAATAATAGAAAATAATTTTATACTTTATTTATAAAAAAAAAATCTCTTAAATACTTTTATACTAAAAAAATCAATAATATTCTTAAATTTAAAAAAAATTAAAAGGGATTCTTATCGTAATTGACGAAAAGAAAAACACAGTAAAAAATTTGAGTTATAATTTTGAAGACAACTTGTGGGACAAAGAAAAATAAAATACGTGCATTATCAAATTTATAGCAATTGAAGGCTTAATGTTGCACGTTGTACTTGTATTTTTACCACTAAAAAAACATTTTTTTGGTTTCTTATGAGCTTGAATGAAGTTTATTTTAATTTATTAACTAAGATCCAAGAGAATCGTCTATCGATACAACATACAATTGACAATTGTATTTAAGCAAACATGGAAGTAACCTGCCATGTAAGACTACTTAAAACATATTTGGAAGTGATTTAGACGCGATAAAAGTAATGCGAGTTATTTCGAAATCACTATCAAACATGTCCTCAAACACTATACACAGTCGAGGACATGAATCAATTCCTCGATGAACAGTCAACAGCAAATCACTCAATTCACAGTTATAAACACGAAACACCAAGACTAATTGAGAAACCAAATGATTATTTTCAATAAATTCATGTATGTTACATCCACATCAAATAGTTTATAAAGGGCAAAGAACATTGTTCCAACCAACCTTTCATATAATCTAACTACTCCATACTTTTCATATGTGACAGCATTCTAGCGTTCATTCTACAAAATCTGATCAAAATGTTGAGCCGTTGTATCCGAAGAACGAGGCCTGGAAATGATCAGGATGGATGTGTTAGTCAACAGGCTATCCGCGCAGAAAAATGTTATATTACAAACATATCGCAGTTAATGTCATACAAATCCAACAAAGTATGGCTAATTTGTTAACTTATATAACTGCACAGACGGGGTGGGGGTGGGGGCTAAGATATTCACAATGTAAAGACATAATTCATTTTTTATATGTATTCTTAATACTCCCCTTTGTCTCGCGATTTCAGTGATTAATGCAAAAACTCAACAAGTACTTCGACAATATTGATTGGAGAATAGATGATGAGTATGAATTCAGATTAGAAACCATCATTCTCCACAATGGTATGATGTTGTCCACTTTGAGCATAAGCTCTCATGGCTTTGCTTTTGGTTTTTCATACCAATTAAGATAGGGTTCCTTACTTATAATCCCAGATTTTCCCCTTAATTAGCCAACGTGGGACTACTCCTTTCAATAATTCTCAATAATTCAAACACCCTTCTCTACGTTGATGTCTAATGTCTGATGTCTTGTCGAGCTAACCAAAAATCTTTTAGCGTTGGGGGTTTTAATGGTGATTTAACAAGGAATGGGTCATATTGTGGCAAAAGACAAATCAATAGGTGCATTTGCCGCTCAACTAATGTAGAAATCATCTCTAGGACTCAAAATGACAGGTGAGTGTTTAGAATTATATGCAAGTTTGTAATTTAGAAGTCAATTCTTTACCAAAATCCAGCCAAGGGGAGTGCCTATAAGAAGAAGTATCGACCATTAAACTTAAAAATTGTACAGAGTTACATATCATGAACAAGTTCAGAAAATATACAAATACTCGAAAGGCCAACTTTTACAGGCCTCTCGGTTCACATTTGACCATATCAGTTATCACTAACACCTCAAATAACAGTGTTACGCCGGGGGGAATATTAAATAGGAAGATCTAAGTTCAAAATTTGTAAAACCAAAACAAGTTTAATTGCAATTCGGAGAAGCAAGGAAGAGATGCAGGAGCTACATGAAGTCAGCATCAAATTGCACAGCCACTAGACTAAAACAATATTGCCATTGAATATAGGCAAACCATCTTACACTAAGTCTACCTCCATTCAGAATTATATATTCCAGAAAAGGCGTAAACAAACCAGGTCAAAAGCTTTACTATTACTAAAATTACATTAATACTAAACCAAAAGGGTTGTGAGGGGTTTGAACATAGTATTCTCTCCTTTGATAAGTTAGTTAAACTATCACTAAACTAACTAAAGCTTAGAGGTTAAGTGTAACGGCCCAAGCCCACCGCTAGCAGATATTGTCATCTTTGAGCTTTTCCTTTTGGGCTTCCTCTCAAGATTTCAAAATGCGTATGCTAGGCAGAGGTTTTCACACTCTTATAAAGAATGCTTAGTCCCCTCTCTAATCGATGTGAGATCTCACTATATTTATATTATAAACACTTCCCTCCGCATGTGAGCTTGAATAACGAATATTAACTAAATTATGGAGCTCAACATGTGAGCTTGATACCATGACATCCACTAAACCCACCTATCCAGCCTTTTATATATGTGTTCAACAATTTGGAAGGACGAGGAAAACTTGCCTGAACATCGGAAAATTTGATATAGAAACGGGAGCTATCAATATGGAGCTTAGTCTGAATAATCTCTGCAATTGTTGAGCTAAGTTTTCCATTCACGCTTGGTCCAAGGCCTCCGATAGATATCAATTCTCCATACGCGGCTGGCTCTTCCGTGCCAGCAAATACGATTGGCGTGCTACCATTCAGCAAGATCATCACATACTGAACCATTCAAGCAGAAAAATGTAAGTTCATGCCCTTGCATTAGCATAAACATGATTCAATCGGGTGTATATGAATAATTCTACACTAATTATCACGATAAAAGAACTTCTTCGACCAACAAAAAAAAAAAAAAAAAATTCAAGTCAGCTATCAATCTAGTACTGGAAAATCTCAACTCAAGAACTTGAAATGACCTCCACATTCTCAGAGTAATTTTGTCGAACACCATGTGGGCATTTCCATAACTCTACATAAAACACACCCAACACAGCAAGGGACTGTTGTTTAACAAGTGATGAGAGTTGAGGAACAATGAAGAAGGGACAAAGAACTTAACAGATTCAGATTTCCCGAGAATTTTAGAAACGGCTTTCGATGCGTCCTTGAGGATGTCAGCAGCCACCACGGCATCAACTGGGAAATTCGTGAACAAATTCAAAGTGGGCATTTTAAACGCTGATGGTGCTTATGGGGACGGTCCAATTTAGCTTGAAGGTTCTAATGGCAATGGGTGGCTTTGAGGGAGAGATTCTGCAGATAAATGGCTCGCAACGCAATCTCGGATTCCCAATCCTCATGGGACCCAGTTCCTTCCCTTTAGGATTAAGCTTATTAGTTTAAATTAATCAATAATTAGACTAAATTAATAAAAATATTATCGGTTTTATTTATTTATTTATTTTATGCTTTCCAAAAGGAAAAGAAATTGTATTACTAGTTATATTAATTACAACTATACCCTTTCTCCTTCTCCCGCGGCTTCAGTTCGCGCCATTCTGTACGAAAATCTGCACAATTGCCCTAATCTCTCTCACTCTTCGATAAGCGGGTATCGGCGACAAGTTCTTTATCCCTCTCTCTCTCTGCATTTGTTAACTGGTAATCATCTGTTAATCTTCTGTTAATTTCCTTTTATATGACCACAACCTATTGCACCGCGTCCTGGATTAAGATGGATTCTTCGAGGGAGGATTGCTCCTCCGACACTCTTCGGTTTATGGAACTTGCAATTCAGCAGGTGAATATCCCTCCTGTACGAAGATGGTGAATTTTAGCATCATAATTGTCAAAGTTACTTACCCGCACTCAAAAGATATGCAGTTCAATTAATTTCCAGGAAGTTATGCAGGGCATGAGACGTATGCAAGAAGATCTTTATTGCTTTTTCAAATTTCCACGACCATTAGTTTACATGTTATGCTTTTGTTTGTCAAGCGTCTTCATTTTCTGCTCTGATTTTATTAGAAATACTTGTGAATAGCTCCAGGCTCATTGGAGTTTGCATTTCTAATGGATGTCTGACCGTAGTTAATCGAAACACTTCACGTAGTATTTTGATCCCTGTGTCGACATTTTCTGTGAAGAAATTATTTTATTGATGCGTCTCTCCCATGCTGACGTCCTTAAATTATTGCTTTGTAAATCATCAATTTTTGCGTAGTATGGGATCATAGGAATGAAAATACAATACGTGGGGGTTGAGCAAAATGGAGGCTGAAAAAAAGAGAGTTCTGCAGGGCCATCTGCCTTTGCACGGGGTTGCTTGTTTTGTTTCAACTGAAAGCTTCTTCTAATCCATTAGATTCTCATCACATTTAAATGTTTGTCTCAATGGTGTCAGATTTATTTATCTCTATAGTAGCTTAATATTTTTCCATGTGGTTGCAGGCCAAGCTTGCACTGAACAGCCTAGAAGTGCCTGTAGGGTAAGCTATTGTCTATTTTTACCATTCTTGCCGGTAAGATCTGTTGTGTTGCAAAATGAGTTCACTGTTTTGGTGCATTTTCAAAAGGATGTATTAACATTCCACCTCAATATTTGTTGTTTGTTCCTTTTGAGTAGTTGTGCCCAAAACTCATTATAGTTATTTATGAAAGCATTGCTTATGAGGTCATCATATTATTGTTATTGTTCAGCTGTGTGATTGTTGAAGATGGGATGGTTGTTGCCACTGGAAGAAATCGCACTACTGAGACTCGAAATGTAATCCAACATGGTTCTTGTTCCCCTCTCTTTCTGCCCCCCCCCCCAAAAAAAAAAAAAAAAAAAAAATCCAATGTTATTTAGTGATCAATTGCACTTCATGGTAGCTGCTTTTTTTTGTCCTATTCCTTTATCATATTATTCTTGTTCAGCTGTTACTTAGCTAGTAAAGCGTTTGATGATTCTATCTCAATGAACCTCCAAGGATAGGATTTGTGTATAAAGGAACAGGGTTAAGACACCATCCATGTCAATGTATTAACAAAGTCACTCTGTACATCTATAGAAGGTTGTGAGGGAATGCAAGAGCTAGTTGGAGCCTGAGACAAGGAGAGCAATCTCTCTGCTTCTCTTCATCTTGATAATAGGTATGATGAGTAGAATAATGAACAAAGTTAGAGAGGATGGTTTGTTTGGGTGCTTCAAGGTTTGTAGCAAAGAATGTCATTTAACTCGTTCTTTTAGCAGATGACTTTCTACAAATTAGCAGGATGTTTCATATGCTTCTGGTCTAATAATCAATCTTTTAAAAGTTTTGTAGTAGACATTAATATGGCATATAGAAAGTTGGCAAAGATTGCATCTACCTTCTATTGCAGTATTTTTCATGGTCGTTTAGCTACCTTGGCATGTCTTTGGCAGGCAAAAAAATCCTCAAAATTTTTGGGACTACATGTTTGATTAATGCTCTTAACTTAAAATCGGATCCAACTAACATACTGAGCTTGATCCAATGCGTATTTCTATTTGTTTAAAGTCTTGAAAAGAACTAGTTGAAAGGTTGAAAAAAGAGATCCTAGATTCCATATGATAGAGTCTAGAGGAAGTAAGCGGGAACCACTTGGTTCATTGAAACGAAATGTCTCTTCCAATGAACTTGGGGGTCCTTATGATGGGTAATATCAAGAGAAGAAATTATTCTATATGAGTTAATTTGATTTGGAGATTTCTTTCCAGGATTACTAATGGATGGACGGAGGAGATAGCAATTATGTATGGAGTGATCAATCAGGTTGGGATGTCTCAAAGAATTGCTGGAACTTGTCTTTTTTTAGGGGTTATTCATGGACGGGTGTGGATGAATGTAAATATATGTTGAATTTTCTCTAAAGATCAGCATGAGTAATCAAGAATTTGGTTTGCCAATAGCATTATCCCTTTTTAAGCAAGAATTGAAAGACTCCGATTGATCAAAATGGCTCTATGGGTGAGAAGAAAGTTTCTTTAAGATGTGGAAATCCAAAATGCCTAAGCTAATCGTCCCTTTGAAGATATTTGATAAAATTGGAACAATATTTGGAAAATGACTAAGGTAATATGTTCTTTGTTGTGATTAGTTTACCTTTGCAAGATTAACACCTATGACAATAGCTTTTTCATTCTTGTGCAAAGGATAGGCATTCTGTCTTTAGCTGAAAGGTGAGGACATGAGTGAACAAGGACAGGCCCGTTGAACAAAGAGAAATCCGTACTTTTCCCTTGCCCCTCAAAAAAAGTATCCTTTGTAGAAGAGACCTAGGTCGACACATTTCCATAAAAGTATGCCCTCTATATACACTTTGCGTTCTTTCATTTTTTTTCTCTGGATTTCCATCCAAAATAAAATAAAAATTCTTTAAAAGTAAAAGGTATAGTAGATCATTCTCCTCCCCTGCTCAAATTATTTCTGGGAAGGAAAAAGGTCCTTTTGTTAAAGAGCAAGATCTGATCTATACCCATCAAGATACAGTGATGAGAGTCAAAATTTTGTAGAAGGAACTGTTGAGGTAAAGGATGTTTGACCAAGGATCCCGGGGACAATTTTCCCAAATACGTACCTTTGCAAAAGAAATGCAGAATCCATCAGCCATCTATTTATTTGGCTTCCCATTTGCATACAAAGGCTGGATTTTCCTACATAGATGTTTTGACTTCGGTTGGTGCCTCCAACATGGAAGATGGTCTAACAAAATTTATGTCCGGATAGAGAGAGAAACTCCATATTTTTCTTAGTTAAGTCATCTTCTTTTCATAACTTCTCTGATAATGTATAGTGGGAGGCCTCCGATACCCGCCTACAGAAATCTTTTTGTGCTACCCTGGCGTCAACTTAAATTGGGTCCTTTTGTTTTTGCCCTCCTCACTAGCTTCAGGTATCCCTATCCTCAAGGCCTTTATGCTGCTCTCCTTTTTCCCATTAATTTGATGGTTTTGTTTTTCATTAAAAAAATAGTAAATAAGTTTCTTGGGTACAATTTTGAAAGAACTTGTAGCGAAGATAGTTTCGTTGTTTTCAACTTAGAGGATTTTGGAGTCTCAAATTCAGGGCCATGTTTCAAATATCCAAGTTGCTCTGACGGACTTTTGCCAAGGTGGTTCCTTGACAAAGCTTAGAGGCTGATTGCAACAGTTCTCAAGTTTAAAGGATTTTGGATTCTCAAAAGAGAACTATGCTGTTATAACTCAACCAAATGAATCGTTTTTAGGCCTCAAAATTTGATTGCTTACCTAAGATATTAAGTTCCTACAAGTGTTCTATGCTAATTTTTCAAGCAGTTATAGTGTGGGATCAGTCAAGGTACAACTAAGCTAGCAAGGAAGGGTACACGGGAATATCCATTCCCAGCTTTCCTTAAGACTGTAGTGACAAGTTCTTTTGCCTTGTTTTGCTTATTATGTTTATAAGCTTTCTTTTCTACATTATTTTTTATATTCTCATAGGCTACCAGACACGCAGAGATGGAAGCTATTGACATTCTGATTGAGGCATGGCAGAGGAATGGACTTTCAACCTCAGAAGTTGCTGAAAAATGCTCGAAGTGCAAACTTTATGTTACCTGTGAACCTTGCATTATGTGTGTTTCTGCCCTATCAATACTTGGTATGTTTTCTTTTTCTTGTTTCTCCATGCAGAGGCAACTGTTTGTCCAAAGAGTTATAGGTCATAGTTTACCTTTCATTTAACGACTGAATATGGTTGATTCATTGCTATGCGATTTCCTGTTTCAGGTATAAATGAAGTATATTATGGTTGTGCAAATGATAAATTTGGTGGATGTGGATCTATATTGTCACTTCACTTAGGTAGCCGTGAGGCACATACAAGGTTTATTTCTTTATCTACCATTATCAGATTTTAGTTTTATGAGATTAACTCTTTGGTTTCTTGAACGAATTGCTGCAGTTAGTTGTTAACTTTTCCAAAATAACTTATATTTTTATGTAGTTTTAAGTCTTTTACTTACTTTCAAGCTATCAATTCATATGCTTCCTTCCAACTGGGTCGCTTCTTCAAGAAAAAGTGGGATAAAAATACACCTGCTATGGGAGAATTGTGTTTGTTTTTCTCTTCGTGCTTTTGAAAAAAAGTGTGCTCTCTTTCCAAGACTTATGCTGGTTTCTCATTGCAAGATATTTGTTTTAATTGATATGCTTTTATCACTCCTTTATAATCATTGGTTTCTCTTTTCTTATGTTTTTTATTTTCACTCTTTTATCGAGTTTGTATCTTTTAAGCATTAATCTCTTGTTTTTTTAAAAAAAGTAGAGGCAAGGAAGAATATTGCATTAAAAAATTCTCTGATTCTTTCCAACCATAATTCTGAAAATAGAGATTTAACCGAATTTACCCATAGAGTGTTTGGCCTTGAGCCAAAAGAGGACCACTGAGAAGCTGAAGAATATTGTCCTTTAAAACATTTGAGAAAACCCAGTGCATATTGAAAAGAACAATATACTTGAACCATCAATTCAAATAATAAGTGCAACCAAAAAAGATATGAAAAAGATACCCCCCATCTGCATGTCAAAAAGGACAAACTGAAGGCATGAGCTTGAAAAGAGCAACTTTCATTGAAGCATTTCCTAGGCATTTAAATTCTCATTCAAGATATCAAATCAAACTATTGGTAATGGGCAAGGAAGGGGATTCATTTCGGATAGTGATTCTTTAATTTGTTGTGATAGTGGTAATTGGCAAGGAAGGGGATTTAAATGCACAGCAGGAATAATGGCATCAGAAGCAGTTGCTCTTTTTCGATGTTTTTATGAACAGGGAAATCCTAATGGTACGTGAAATTATTTTGATCATCTGATTTGCACGATTTGCTCGTGTATTGAACATTTTATCTTCCAAACAGACCAGCTTATTTTGTTGGTATAACCTATTTGTCAGATATTTTTTTTATCTTTTGGATTGATAGACTTTGAAAAATGTATATGGTCTGATTGATAGTGGTGGTGTTCTGTTGCAGCTCCAAATCCTCACAGGCCCCTTGTTCACAATCGGGCAGGTCAATGACAGGCTGAAATGAGGTTACTTTTGGTTTTGATACCGTCTAGTCCAAATCGACATGATCAATGATAAAAGCTTTTGAAAGCGGAAAAGGTGTATGGATGAATCCATTTTTAGTTCTTGTCTCAAACAATATCAGTTAGTGAGCTTGAAGATGTCGAATGCCGACCTCAACGTCATTGCCATACATTTTGGGATTAGGATATTTCTGCCTCTAACATTTGAACTGCTATCTGAACTACTATTATTTATATTGATTCAAATGTTCCCTCAGATTGTAATTAAACTCTTCACATCTACTATGACTTAATTTTCAGGGTTAACCAAAAGCTCTCTAATCAAATGTCTACAAATATATTTTGCCAGAAAGTCAAATTGGTAGGGGGGGGGGGGGGTG